TGCAGCCGTTTCGAATAGCTGGGCCCACCCACCCTGTAGTGGGGACATTATGGGTTCTGAGCTTCTTGTTTACGGCTTATAGGCGGTTTAGGGGTAAGGGATACCCCAAGGCTCAAAACTACCTAAAGGCTTGATGTTGCATACACCTTGGGCGCAGATTCCTTCAAATCTGAATCCTTGGAGCCTTGGGTAAGGGATAATGATAATGCTTTGTATACATATATATATATATGTGGGGTATTCCTTATGCTGTTATTATGTTGCTATTACGGGGTGAGGACGTCCCCCTAAGGTCTAGGGCTCAAGGTTCACAGAGGGATTTTAGGTGTAGGGTTCAAGGTTTACAGCTTGTATATGGTTTAGAGTTTAGAGTTTTATGTAATAAGCCATAATCTAAACGTTTAATACCCCCTGAAAAAGCATCATAACACTCCCCTATATAATCCCCTATATAGCCCCTCTAAGGAGTTGCGACTACAGCTCATACGGTTTCGCATTCAGGGTTCATACGGTTTAGGGCTCAGGGTTTGGAAGGTCAGGGTTTAGCGTTTTGGAAGTGGTTGCTTGCCCTACCGTAACCAATGTACCCATAGAGACGGTTGCTGTGCGCAATACTCTGGAATCTTTGTACAGGGGTGGGTTCCTCCAGGCAGGAGAAATTTGGCCTTCCTTCACTCAGTGTACCCCAAATCCTAAACCAGTACCTACGTCTTCTGCTTCTCAGAGACATGCCACTTTGGCTCACGTTCGAGGTTCCGACCTCCATATCATCCTTAAGCCGCAGCCTTGCAAACCAGCTCCGCTTACCGCCTTGCCCACTTTCTAGAGGCGCTGGGAGCCTTTGCCCAGCAAGGCGAGAGAGCAGATCAGGGGCCAAGCGGAAATTCCAGGCGAACCGCATAGGATACACATTATCCGGCTTCAGGCGGGCATGCGCGCCATCCCCGCCGACTGGCCAATCCGGTCCAGGTTCAGGCCCATCACCCAGGACGACGGGCTCGAGTCGAGCACATGGTTTTGAGAAGGGGGCCTTCGTTGCCTCTCTGAGCTTGTCCATGACCAGATGCCTGCTGCTGAACTCGGCCTGGAGAACGGGCCCGTTCACGGCAGAAGGTGTTCAAGGTGCCAGGGGATCATAATTCCAGGCTCCCTGAAGATACTTAGTAGGGAGCTCCCCTAAGTGTTGATTGTAGCTTATCCGCACACCGCTAACCCTCACGTGGAAAGCCAATCACCCATAGTTAATTTTGATCGACTTTCTCCTAGTTTCCTGCAATTTTGAGGTTGAACCTGTAGCCTAACTGGGCTTTCCATGGCCGCAACCCCGATTTCATCCCTAGTAAGTTTCCTTATATCTGGGTCCACCGGCTTTCCAAGTTGTCTCTAAAGCATCAACTGCAAGGCTCTGAATTCCAGCCCCTTGTCTCTAACCCCTTATCCTGAAGTGCCTGACTTCATGCATCCCCTCGAGAACAGATAGTCACTATTTTCATCAAGACGCAGGGCTCAACATTTCCAGTATCTTCCTGAAATATGGATGGAGGTTCACGGTAATCATAACCCAATCACAGCTTTGGCTTAAAAACCCCAATTATATACCACCTGAGCCCCCAACATAGCTGTGATGAGGAAATACGTTCTTTCAAGTCTTGATTCTCGATTGCTGGGTAGAATTACCCTGAACTCCACGAGCCCTTACACGACCCCTATTTATTGGGCACCCAAGGCGACCATCACAATGATCTGTCCCACCTAGAGCCATCATCTTTGGACCCCTGGACCCCAACCTGGCCTTTTCCGCCTTAACCCCTAACGCCCCCCCAATGCCTTAACCTCGGGTACTGCCCCCGTAGTAACAGTTGGATAATAATTATATTATGGTTATATATATAGCCCTCAATAGGACCCCTAATATGGACAGTTACTGGGTTGGGGCAGTACCCAAGCTTAACCTCAAACCCCCTAAACCCCTGCGCCCATGCACAGGTCTGGGACCGCTCCGGTGGAAAGGCTTTGCTCTTTGCGCCTTCCACACCAGTGGCCATCTCTTTGCTACGAGGCGCTCCACAATGTTGCAGAAAAGCTTGCGGGGCTTCAATTGGGGGTTGAGGTGTTACCCCAAGGCTCCAAGGATTCACATTTGAAGGAATTTGGGCCCAAATCCTACACATTATGACATCTTTGCTGTAGGTAGTTTGGAGCCTTGGGTTTCTTGCCCTAAACCTTAAACCCTAAACCCTAAACCCTAACCCAAGGACCCAAGCTGTTGAATATACTCAGGGTAGTTCTGACCCAATCATACTTGTACCTTAGGTGGACCCCCCACCCAGCAATAGTGACTATAAGGGATAGTAGGGATTATATTAGGGTCCTCTCATATTCTTATTATACCACTATTACAGGGAGGGGGGTTCCTCCTAACTTGTACCCGTTGTCCAATACTAAGCCGCTTAAGTCGCCCAATATGGGTTTGATTGGGTCATAGGTACCAATATACCGGGTGCCCGGAACCTCCAAGAACCCCTACTAAAGGGGTTATGTAGGGCTACATGGGGTTCCAGGAAGCACTTGTGGGGGATTCTAGGGATACATAAGGTTTAGGGTTAAGAGGTTTAGGGATGTACAATGGCTTGAGTTACTGCCTGTTGTAGCGATATATTTCGAGCTTTCGGGACTCTAAACCCTACCTCATAACAGTCCTAACCAAAAAACCATGCCAAATCCACAAAAAGAACTACATTGGAGGGTCCAGGTAAGCCCTAAATCCAAGACCCTAAACCTCTAAACCCTAAACCCCTGAATCCCTAAACCCTAAACCCAAAACCGGTGTAGAGCTTAGGGCAGGGAATGACAAATAAACCATTCCTGCTTTCCTCACTGACAGCCAGTAAGTTAAGTTTTGCAAGTATATTAAGGGGTTTAGGGTATAGGGGTATAGGTTAGGAGGACCCCCACCCTGTAATAGTGGTATACTAGGAATATAAGAGGGCCCTGGTGTCGTCACTATGACTGGGTGGGGGTCCACCTACGGTATAAGGATAGACGTATAGTAATCCCGGGGAACAAGGGAAGTATGTTTTCAGTGTCAGAAGTACCACATGGTTTAGACTTTCAGGATTAGGGATGTGCGGATGCCATAGAACTAGCAGAATAACTCAAAATGTCTTAGGCTCTGCAGTTTACTTCATTGGGCGAACAGAATGTGCAGACGGACTTCAGTGTAGGTATCATGTGGTAGAAACATGACGTGGGGCTTGAAGAGAATTTGATATAGCTTCTTTGGGGCCCAGGCGTATACATTGTTGTCATGTGAGCCCCTGGGGCCGACTAGCTAGTTCCAAAGTGGCCGAGACTCTGTATGGAATTAGGACGCAAAATATGTCCCATGTGTCTTGACATCCTGGGCTTTGCGGTTCCATGTTTTCGACAGGCCAGACAGGGGTTTCGACGGGAAGAATCTCATGCGGACTACAGCTTAAACTCCACAAAGGCCATAGTCTACATTCCTTGACTGGGGATTATGCAAGGGATAAAACGGGGAGAGTAGTATAGGCGTTGCTAGGGGGATACCAGGAGTTAGATCATAGCTCATGCAAGCTGATGTGTACATGAAGCATGCGCAACTAAAAGTTAGACTTTGCAGCTCATTGCAGGGATGCCGGGCGCTTGTACGTTCAAAGTCCTTCAGCTTATTGAGATAGGGGGTTAATACCTGAAGCTTCATGGGATTTAGTAACTGCCTAAATCTGGGGCTAGAATTCAACCTATACTTGGCGGTAACCCCTCTAGAGCCATGCTGCTGCTGCTGCTGCTGCTGCTGCTGCTGCTGCTGCTGCTGCTGCTGCTTCTGCACATGCACATCCAACTTCAACATATGTCATCATATGTCATGTCTTGGCACTCGGATAGCGAGTATGAACTTACCTTTCGTGCAGTTTGTCCATTGTTTCTTCCTAGGTACCCCTGACATCCCCTGACTGAAGAGCATTCTCAAAACGATTTTGAAGATCCCTTACATGCCCCAACATTATTTCCTACTTGGAGGATCATGTTCCCTGTAACCGACTCAGTAACTGTAGTTAAACGCAACTTGTAAGTCTCTGAGTCGAGTAACCACGGTTGGAAGTGAGAGATATGTGTAGCTATTGACTAAGAAGGTTCTCTCCTCCAGGATTCATAAGCTCTTGTTCCAGAAGCCCCCCCTGCCGGCATTCCGGCACCCCTTACACCTGCTAAAGGTCTATGTTTCTTCCACGGTCTGAACTTCGACACGCGTCTCGCTCAGCGGGTGTCGGTTTAGCCCGGAATCATTGCTGGCCCTGGAAGAGAAACTATCCTGCCAAGTCCGTGTAATGCAAAGCCTTCAGCCGAAGCCCTGCAAACCTTAGACCCTCCGACCTGAACCCTTAACGTGAAGCCTATGCTCAAAATCCCTAAGTCCACAAACCCTAGACCCCAAGTCTCAAAAATCTTCCCCCCCTCAAGTTGACAGCATACAATGTCCCAAATCCTAATTTCGAAAACCTTCGATTCCCTTTCATGTAGGGGCCTCACACAACTTTAAAAGAGAGCTCTCGGGATATTCTACAGTTGTATGGGGAATGTAACGAGTAATGTTGATGAGTACAGTCTTTTCACATCACGCACAAACAGCCCCAGTTTCCATCTCAATTCCGTTTTCATGTGTTCCATGTCATTCTCCTGTCTTAAGGGGCATTTTTCTTGTCGCGCCCCGAAGACCTTACTGTAGGCCCCAGGTCCTAAACCATTTTTCCTAAACCCTCAACCAAGCCCTAGACATCTGAACCCTGTACCCAAAATCCCTAAAGTCAAGACTGTAAACTCTATACCCCTGATAAAACCTGAGCCCTAAAACTCTTAATCCCCAAGCCCTCAAACCCTAAGGACTGCTGCAACCTGGTCCGGACGGCGGACGACCTGGCGACGCGGGACTGCGTGCCTGGCTACGTGAACCCCACTGTGCGGAAGATGTTGCGGAGGATCAAGGCCAGACTCGAGGAGCAGGGCGTCGCGGAGCACATCGTCAAGGCGGCCAAGGAGACGGTCTGTGTGCTTGAGGCAGCTTTTGCGAAGGAGGCCGAGGCGGACAATGAGCACGAGATCCAGGCTGTGGCTTGGCCGGGTGACGCTTGGACAGTGAAGTTTCTTTGTGGGCGCTGCGGTTGGCTGGCGGACGAGCTGACCAACATCCACCGATCGTGCAGCAGGCTGGGGCGGAGACGCCCGACACAGGCGGTGGAGCAGCTCCGTGAGGTTGCTAAGGAGGAGGCGGGCCCCCGACCACGAGCGGCTCGCAACATCCTGGACGCCCTCGGCTTCAAGCACGAGACGGGCAACCCGGCGGAGGAGCAGCGCAGCTTGGCAAGAGGACCCTTCGGGTGGGAACTTTGAATGTCCGAACTCTTACGGGCAAGATCGGGGCGGTTGCCGCTTTGGCAACGGAGGCGGGGGTCAATGTACTGGCCATGCAGGAAACGCGGCTGGCTTCGGATGCGGCGCGGTCCTCTACTTCGGCTTTTCGGGCGGCGGCTGGAACCTCAAGAGCCACACGGACGTGGAGCGGCGTCAGCAGGCGTGGCCATCATCACGGACGTGCCGGCCCAGCAAGTGGAGATTCCGCAAGCTATGGCTTATGATGGCCGTGTGATGGCCTTGAAAGTGGGGAGGAAAGGCCTCCGACCGCTCCTTGTGCTGAACCTCTACCTGCCTGCCGGCGACAAGATCCCTGGCAACCACATCGCGCAAGGAGGCCATACAATGGGCGCGAGACACGGCGGCGACTGGAACCGGACTGAGGACTCCTACCCCCTGGCCGGCCTCTTGGCTAAAGGGGCTGTCTGGACCATGGACGGCGACCAGCTTCTCCGAGAGAGCACTTTTCGTCGATCGGGGCACCTGTCCACGCACATTGACTTTGGCTTGGCTTCGCCGCAGCTCTTGGTGGAGGACAGGGCGCAGCTCCTGGGCGTCGCGGACCACGACCTCGTCACTTACCGGCTTCGTGCTTTTCCGGAAGAGGACGCTTGTAGGTGGCAGCCGCAACGCCGGTTGGTGGCGACGGAGCCGACTGACTGGGATGCTGGTTGGGCCGACTTCGCGGCTGACTTTGACGGTGATGGACTTTGACCTGGACCGGGCGTGGCAGCTACTGTCTCAGGCGGCGGAGAACGCTATGGCGGATGACCAGGCTCGACCTGCTCGCCCTCGTGCGCTACCAGGCCGACCAGTCACACAAGAGCGTCACCAGACCCGAACCAAGGAGCTCCAGACGCTGCTTGAGAGGAGGCTGAGGCGTGTGGCACGGAGGGGATCGGAGGCGACCAGGAATGGCGATGCCAGATTGCGGCAAAGCTGGACCGCGACCTCGACGAGCGGGCGGGCACGTTCCCTGACTTGCCGCAGGTTGTGGGCTATGACAACGTCGCCGGCTTCCTGAACGACAAGACTGAGGAGGAGGCGCAGAGAGCCCGCGCAGCGCGCATCCAGAGGTGGAAGCACGACATCCAGGAGGACGTCGGAGCCATGGCCAGATGGATCACGGCCAAGGTCACCAACGAGGCGTGTGATGTGAGCCAGTTGGGTGAGTGTCCGAGCAAGGGCGCGGCAGCAGAGCGCTTGAAGGCTTCTTTGGACAAACTTTGGGGGGAGGCGGCCAACTTTGACGCTCGCCTGCATGGCTTTCTGCAAACCTTGGGGCCAGCTATTCCGGCGGCCGAGCGCGAAGTCCACTTCGACGGCCATCTCAGGAGGCGGGCGCGGAAGGCAAAGCGCAAGGCGGGCGGGCTTGATGGATGGACGGGCGAGTTGGTGGCCCTTCCTTTGAACTTCTTCGACAAGCTGGCGAGGATTTGGACCGCCATCATCAAGGGGGGCAGGCTCCCTCTTGGTTGGAAGCAGGTCAGGGTGGCGGGCATTCCGAAACCCGGTTGGAGGTCTTCAAGCGCTGGCGCTTACGCAGCTGGCATGGAGGTTGGGGGCGTCCGAGATGCTGGCGCAGCTGCGGCCTGTGCGTGGATGCCGGAGTGTCTACATGGCGGGCTTCCCGGGCGCTCTGTCGACGCCATCAAAGAGCAACTTGGCTGCCTCTTGGACAAGCGGCGGCGAAACGCACCTTTGTGGGCTGCAAGGCTGACGTGCGGAAGTGCTTCGACAGGGTTTCTCCGCAAGCAGCCCTGGCTGTGCTACGGTGGTGGGGCGCTCCGGAGTGGCTGGCGACGATCCTTGAGGACTTCTACACAGAGCAGGATAGGTGGGTGGCAGTCGCTGGCGTTTTTGCCTCTTCACCTGTGGGGGGGGCCTTCTCCCCGCTCCTCTTGAACGCCATGATGGGCATTTGGAGCAGGCGCGTCCAGAACCAAGTGGACAACATTGGCATGGGCATTTTTCTTGATGACAGGACCCTCTGGACTCGAGGACGGGGAGCGGTGCAACGTTTGGAGACGGCCCCGGGCTGGCGCAGTTGCAGACGAGATGCTTGGCTTTGACGTGGAGCAGCGCGAGGCCCTCATGGAGCACGCGGACGTCCTCGACATTTTTCAGACAGATTTCGTACTGCTTGGCATCCCATACAGGCTCACCGGGCATCAGGCCTTCGACGCCAAGGACGTGACCAAGGAGCTGCGGGAGCGAGGTCGGAGGATAACGGGTGGCTCGGGCGAGGCTGGCTGGCTTGTTAATGATCTCCAAGTTCCGATTCCGAAGCCCGTGAACACGCTTTGCGAGGCCGGGACTGGACTTCACAGGTCGAGGCGGCGGTTTGGGGCGGGCCTTTGGCTACGGGACGGTCGGCCTACCTCCTTTGGACCTTTGTTGGCGTCGACCTGCGCCCGGACTTTGCCATCATCGTGACCGTTAGGAGTGGCTCCGACTCGGGCGAGGTGGGCAAGGGCGTCGAGGGCTACGTGTTGACGACGCGCTGGCGGCTGCCCCTAGGCTCCAGCAAGTCATAAAAATTAACTTAAGCTTAACTGTAAAAAACAAAATAGAATTTTAACTTGCAAGTTAATTTAGCAAGTTAAAATTTTTAACTTGCTGCAAGGCA